CCCCAAAACCCCAAAACCCCAAAACCCCGCAAGTTTTTAAAAAAGCAAAATGTATGGAATTGGAAAATCAACCGAGTTTCGATCAAGAAAATATTAGGAAACTTAGCCTAAATATATATTCGAAGTAATAATTATATTATATTTAAGGATGCTTTATTAAATAAATTTCCCAAATTAAATGAAAAGTTTGACTGTGGAATCCTAAAAGAACTACTATTTTCCAATTAGTCAACCTTGAATAAATCAAAACATCTCTGATTAGCAATTGCAACCTAGAGCTGATTACATTCATGCTTTATTGCAGTAAAAACTATAACAAAAATTTTCTCCTGAAGATAGAAAACCTAGGAATTTAAATATTATCCCTTCAAACAATACTTTTAAGCAGCCAACATATATTTAGAACCTAACACCGATAAACTCTAGATCTAAACACACATTTTCATTTTCAAACAATGAAAATATGCGAAGTCTGCAAGTTAATACACCACAAGGGCATTCAATGAACTCAGAATAATCTTTTGGAAAAATATTTGAAGAATAAAAGTTATTGAAAATGCAAGAGCAAAGTTTAAAAAAATCACTGAAGAAAATCATCAAAAGGAAAAAAATAGAAGAATAAGATTGATTTAATACCTATGAGAGTGCAAATGAATTTTAAAAATCTAATGCATTTTAGAATACACAATCACAACTTGATCGTTATAGGTAGTAGAAGTTTTATTCATCACTAGAAAATAGAATTCCTGAGGTTTAATCAAGACAGTAACTACAGTAATAGTAATTTCCACCTCCACAATAAAGTATATATAGTCCAAATATGATGGATACACTGAAAAAAATTAACCTATTTTCAAACTTTAAAACGCTAAATGCAAGTAAACCTCCTCTCGCATCAGCATTCTTAAAACCCTCCTCAATTAACTAATCTAGAGATTAATCTAGACAAATTCTTTCAGTGTCACAGATGTCCTCTGAAAAGAATTTTCCTTAACCAGGTTCTGATTCATCTCCTTTGAGTTAGCCAGCATTATCGTTTATTGGTGCTTAAAAAGATGATTCACTGAAAACTAGAACTGAGTTACTTTTAAAAGATGTATTAAAAAAGGAGAAAAAAAATCAAGTTACAAATATCGATATCAGGATTAAAAGTATGAAGTAACACATATTACAAAGGCTAAATATATCTCCTACTACCAAAATTAAATCAATTCCCGAGAAGTATAACAGATAATATGAAAGACTTTTAGATCGAGAAAATCGGTTTAAAGAATTTGATGATATAATGAATTCAGAAAAAAGGATAAAGCTTGAGATAGAAAAAGAGCTAGGAGATTTGAAGGTCAAATAAATAGCTGATTTTTATAATCTGCTCGAGAAGATTAAACATAGAATTTGCTAGGTTTCCAAGTGGGGGAGAATTAGAGGAATTATATTAAGTTCTGTAAGACTAATGACTTATGTAAAGGAAATAAGAGCTATAAGAATGAAGTTCAAAATAGAACTTCAAACTATCCTAAGTAAACTTATTTAGATCTATAGCGAGGTCATGAGAACTTGGATGATTAATCATATGAAAGCTTTTATTATGCATCTAGTTGAAAATAAAGAATTGAATCTTAACTATACTGAGGGAGGTATAACCCCTAAGGAAATTCAATATTGATTCCTGCTTTCTGGGATAAGAGCAAAGAATATCATCAATATGTTCTTTGAATGTTCACACTCACATAGTTTGCCCTCTCCGATAATTCAGTTTATGATATTCCTCACTAAACCAGGTGCTTACATTCCCCATGACTATTTAAATGAATTAGAGAAGAATTATATATTGGAGTTAGATGTGACTGAATCTTTAGCTTCATCAGATGTAACTACTAAAATCACTCTAGTTGGATTTTTCTGTTTTGAAAAGATTCTTATCTAGAAATTACTACTCGGCGATTATCACACCATAAAAACTTAAAATTAAAACCTTAAAATGATTTCATCAATCATTTACTACTGCTTTATAAACATTCTAGAAAAGCTTCATCATGACAATCCTAAGATTCAAGAGTAATTGAATTCTATATAAATACTAAGAGATCGTAGAAGGAAATACAATGAGATATTCTTTTCAAATAAACTGGGTATAATACCTTATGAATATATGGAATTGCTCATGAAGTCTTAATAAAACTAAAACATTTTAATGGAAATAGAGAAACTAATGAAGGTTATAATGCATAGAATACTTTAGTTAATGACGCTTTTGTAAAATAGGTAGAAAGCTATTCTTAAAAGAAGATTTGAGAGTTTACTCTTAAAGTGAAACACATATTCAAAAAGTATGGTAATATAATTTATAGTCTATTAAAGCATTGAAAATTTAAAGTTTAGATTTCCAATGAGGGGTTTTGGGGTTTTGGGGTTTTGGGGTTTTGGGG